GACAGATAAGTGTATATACTGCCCCCTGGTGGAGAAATGCAACAGTCCATATCTCATTGCTGTCGCTGCTTTTTCCGTAGGTTGAGTCTTGAACACATAAAAAGAGACAATCTATGCCTAAAAATCCCATTAAGGATGCTACAGACTGACTCATGGGTACTACAGTCCTGCAGTCGTTCAGTGAGGCAGAGTCGTGATCCTCATGCTTTGACTCGCAATGGGGTACGACACCATGGGGGTGGTGGCATGACTCATGGTGATGCCAGGCAGAGGCTGTGTCATGGACACTGCCACTGGCGCCACAGATACAGCCACCGGTGCCATAGAAACGGGAGGCGCCATTCCTTGAGCAATGGTCTGTGCAAGGGCAGCTGACAGGGGGGTTATTTCGGGATTGAGGTGTGGCGGAGGAGCTGTAGGTGGAGCTGCATTAGTCGGAGGCGCTGCGGGAGCACCGGTGGGAGCTACCAGGTCTTGCTGGGTGACGGGCCGAGGCTGCAGTCCAGCGCTGCTCAGGGTGGTGTGAGTCTGGGCGATGCTGTGATTGTAGGAACTTACAGCGCCTACGGGGGGTGCCAGACTCTGCTCAGTGGGTGCAGGAGTGGAAGACAGTGTCATCACCTTTGCCTGGCTGCGGAACTGGGCGTTCTGCTCCAGGAGAACCTCATTTGTGGCGATGAGATTGGAAACCTGAGAAGTACATAGGACATGGCTTAAAAAATGTACACTGGGGAAAAAAAATGTAAATGACCAGACACTTTTGTATGTTACCTAACTGCTGTACCAGTATGTTCTACTTCACTCTTACTGTTCCCAGTGTGTTTGTGTCTGTTGATGTTACAGAATTTCATTTTCTTTAATAAATGTTTCAAACTACATCCAATGGGGCTTTTTTCTGTCAGGTGACTGTGAAGGGAAATCCCTGGTCTGACATATCTCACTTGTGAGGGTCATTGCTGCTGAAACACAAATCTACACAAAAGAATCATTTAACTGTGTGACATAAAGTGACACTTTCTTTCAGCCAGTATGTGGTTGATGGAAATTAAGTCCTAAACTCAAGATGAGGCAAACTCACCAACAACATTCCTACATAATAAAATATAAACCTTATGCATTCATTTCACATGTTGCCATGTAGTCACACCAATTCTTGAGCTACAAATGTTAAAATGTTCCCGTAAACTTTTTTTTAAATCCACAAATATGTACAAGCCTGTCCATATTAAAAGTCCCATTTGGTGAAAATCTGTATTAACGTAATTTGTATGTCTATCATCATATCTCTAGACTACCTCAACTAGATTGCCTTCCAGCTTTACAAGTAAGGACAAATTTTATTCAGCTGTACAAGCTTGTTTCATACATGAAAACTGAGGAACCAACAGCCACCAAACATTTGCATAATCCTGCCTGCTGTTTGCCAGGTGAGCCATTCATAATGAGCTGCTGCCTCGCAGTCCGTCAGGTTCATTTACTGTCTCAAGTCGCATCTACTAACTGTAAAATGTCTCAGCCACAAGCAAAGCACACCAAATGCTCTGCTGTTAGTTCAGAATGAACACAAGAGTGTTCATGCACTGCCAGCATCTGAGGAACTGAAGACCCTATGGATTACTTTCATTACTGATGGCCAATGTCCACACAACAATAGTGCAGTCCTTGGTGTTATCATAATGTACAGCTAACGCTACCATGACCTTTAATTGCATGCTCACAGGTCTGAGCTATGCAGAAATTACAGTGCAGAAGGAAATTCTGAGATGGAAATTTTAGGACGAATCTAAAACCCAATGAACAAGGACTGGTTGGGTTATTGTGTCTTCTTGTCATTTGTTGTGCTTCAGAACAACCTCAACTCAGCTGCTGTCTTTGCATCTGTTTGTTTCTCGGCTGTATTTAAAGCTACCCACACTGAAAACAGTCATTTACAACAGAGCTAAAAACCTGAGCTTATACAGTTGTGGTGAAATTAACCACCTTCACAACATTTTGAGGTGAAAACTTGAAAGACATATTCTCGTGATTTGTGACAATTTCAATAATTTGCCGAAAAGGGACACAATATTGGACCTTTAAACTTGTACTTGCAGTCACTGAAGAAATGGCTCCAACATTGCCCCTCGCTTAATAAAAAGGTACAAGATATGATCTATATTTCAAAGAAGCTGAGGACCAACCTTGCTATTTCCCTCTAAAATTGACAGACATTTAATGAGAGGACACAACTACATCAGTCGCTGATGTTTTCTGATGATTCTGAAGGTTTGTTTACAACACCAATGTTGAAAAAACATCAGTAATTAAGCACACATTTGCTGATTGGCTGATAAAGAAATATTTTGTCTCCACCAACTCTAGCACTATGTAGTTAAATATGACTTAAATTTACATTGCAAAACATTTCTATACATGTGATTTGGGACTGGGATTTTAATATGTTAGTCTGCTGACAGTAATTGAGCCATACCTCTAAGCTATGGTCATAAGATCAAGTTTTTCTGGTTGACTTTTGGACACAAGGATGTACTGTGTTCATATGCTGATCTGCCTGGCCCTGTGTTAGACTGAAAGAATGTGGTTTGTTTTAACTCTTAACTTTCAGGTAAACTGCGATTTAATAGACAGTGTTTTATTTGTCAGTATTACAGTTACTGACTTTATCCACCTCTGTCAGCAGTAAGAGGGCCATGTTAAAAAGATTATTTTGATTTATCTTTACAAAGTGTGGGCAAAACAGCAGCAAACCTGCAAATTAATGCTGCTAAAAACAACTGTCTTCATCATGGGCTTTTTGAGTTTACAAGGTTTGTAACATTCAACATTGCTTCAGACTATGTTAGAGAGGTGCTGAATTTAATAAAAACTGAGATCGTAATACTTGTAATTGACAGTTTGTGATGGACTAATGCCTTTGTGCCACATTGTATGCAAATGTTTTTTAAATCAATAATCATATGACACTCAGTCATATTGTGCTTCTTATTCTAACCTGCTTCTTTAACTCTTCCACTCTCTTCCTCAGCAGAGAATTTTCTTCCTCCAGGAACCGGTACTCCAGAGGACGAGGTGGCAAGGTTGCTTGAACGCCCAACTCGTAGTGCCCGCCTCCGCTCCCGTCTGCCAGTCGCAGCCCCTCCAACCGCCTCCTCTTCAATTGTAGAGCGGTGTGGTCCATGGAGGCCTCGAGGGAACCAGCGTCAAACAGCCCACTCTCAAGCAGGGGGTCGTACACTGAGCATGTGCTCCTGTCATATCGTCGCTGTCCTGAAGAGCTTAAGGACAGACAGCCACTCATCCCACCTACACCTAATCCGCCAACTCCTGAGATACCTGGATCTCTGCAACCACCCAAGCTGGGGCAGCCTGCCCCCATTATATTATTCCCACCTCCACCTCCCACAAGTCCTTGCATTCCTCCACAGGCACCTCCTCCTCCGCCACCACCTGTCCCTCCTCCAGCATTCACCATTCCACTGGCACATGACCCCATGACACCACCCACTCCAACCCTGGAAGGTTCATATTCATAGTCTTTTTTGACATGGCGAAATTTACATTTATTTCCCCTCTGGCACTCCCCTTTCAGGAAGTCTCTGCAGATTGGAACCTCTCCACGGCTATGGGGGAGATCCATGGGGGACAGACCCAGCCGTGCTGCAACTTTCCCTCTTAGTCTGAGGGGCAGCTCTCCAGTTTTCTTGTAATAGTCCTCATCCTCTTTAGATCCATGGACAAAGCGGCAGTTGGAGCGCATGCACTCTTTATTCTGGTGGTCGTGACAAAAGATGAACTCGTTCTTTTGCACTCCCAAGTCTGGCACCTCATTAAAGTCAGGGTGTCTAAAGCGGCAGCGCTTCCCTCTCTTGCAGACATTGCGTATGAAGTCCCTGCAGACACCGTCCAGTGCCAGTCCTGCACCTTGCCCCCCACCTCCGCCGTTCCCACAACCATTGCCGTTTCCGAGCGCTCCTCCTCCACCCATGCCACCAGAACCAGAGACGTTCCCTCCAACACTTCCTCCTGAACCTCCTCTGCCCTCCGCTGAGCCCCCTGCCAAACCAGACCCCGGTCCTCCCTCTTCACCCAGACTACCACCACTCCCACCACCACCTGACAGGTAGGAACTGTCCCGGTCAGGCATGGCGCTTGGCCCAGCTCAGGGAGAAAATAGCACTCATGTGTATGAGGTGGTGGCTGACGTGACCTGGCAAACATTCACATACACAGGTCAAGAAGTCATAAATTGGTTTTTCCCGCAGGGTAATGCAGTCTGCCGTTCAGTGATCTGCAAGACAAAAACATAAACAGAAGATCATCTTTAAAAGCGAAAGATAAAATAAATATTGCCAGTACAGATGTTGAAAAGGAGGATGCAGTTAAACTGGGTAATGCTAGGGCTAAAATATTATCACGTCACAAAACCTCGTAACTAATAAGTAGCACTGGTGTTGTTAACACTTGAGGATGGGCAGCAGCATGTACTTTGGTAAAAAATAACACAAGATAACAACAGGTTTGAATGCACATGCTATATGTCGGTAAAAAGCAGGCTTTGTCGTGTCATATTCCTAAATAAGAAAGCCTAAAATGGTGCTACTAGGTCGTCGTGCTCGCTGCATAGCTAATAGCTAGCGAACGTTATCTAGCTAACTGGCTACATGCTAATGTGATCAGGCTAAGTGGCTACATGCTAATGTTATCTTACCAAAGCCAACCCAGTAGCAGGATCCAGAGAACAGCCGAGTGACTCCCGTGCAAAACGCGCCTTTTTCGGATGGATAAAAATGTCTACAAATGTTTCTGCTAACAAGAGCAACCAGACTTGTGTTAATGTTTGGCAATTCCTCAAGGCCCCGGTGCTGTTTACCACATTTCTTCAAGCATCTTTCATTACCAACGAAGAAGACCGTCGTCTTCCTCTCTGACTTTCTCGGAATGTTGTTTTTCTGTCCTCTAGTGGTGGAAATAGTGAACGGCATGTAAGTGTGTTTGCAGTTAGTTTGCGTTTTTAACCAGGAAACAAGTCGTACGCGGCTTTAAAGCGGATTTATACAGTGACAGCGCTATAAGACGAGTTGTGAACGAGAAGACGTTTACTTCGATGCCCTTTTTTTGCACGTAGAAGCAGAACTGGCATTTTAAATAAACTTAAGTGTGCGTACTTCGGATTCGAAGCAGAAGTCTGCCACAGCTGACGTGTATATCAGATATGTATGTGAAGATGAGCTGGCAAACCGCAAGGTAGCTGCTCTTCCAGTTAAACTGCTCAAGAGTTTCTGTTTTAGTTCCTGGTCTGTATTCAGACTCAACATGGCAGCGCTCGGTGCTCTGCGCTGGATGCAAACCTGCGTGATCCTGCTGCTCTGCCTGTCTGAGCCTCTGCCCGCCGCCCCTCACAGTAATTACTATGACACTCTCAATGTTGAGCCAACAGCAACCGACAGCCAGATAAAAAAGTCTTTTCGCAAGCTGGCAATGAAGTACCACCCGGATAAGAACAAGAGCACCGATGCAGAGAAGACTTTCAGGGAGATTGCTGAGGGTAAAGAAGCCACTGAGACTTTTGTTTGTTGTTGTTGTTGTTGTTGTCCAGATTGCATGTGTAATATGTACAAGTGAAATGCATTTTATCCCTTTCAAAACAGGTGATTTCTTTGTAGGCAGCCTATAGGATTCATTGCATCTATTGGGTAGCTTCAGTTTTGTGCACCCACTGAACTTGAGTATTCCCTGAAGTAATAACTCTTCTGTTTCCCCCCTTGTGTTCTCCTCCTGCAGCCTACACGGTGCTCTCCAACAAGGACAAAAGGAGGCTGTATGACAGTGTGGGCCATGAAGCTTTTCTACAAAATGAGGCCTCCGCTGACCAAGAGGACGAGTATGAGACAAGCTTCTCCTTCAGATTCTCGGACGTCTTCAGCGTCTTTGATGATGGTCCCTTTGTGGAGGAGCCACACTTCCACTGGAGCTTCGATCAGGCCATGGAGGATGAGGATGCTCAGTTCGAACATTACAGCTTTGACGGGCCAGAATTCAGCTTTTATTTTGGGGATGAAGATGAAAATGAGGATCACTACTAGATAGCCAGTATCTTTTTTTTCTTATACCCTGTGTGACTTTCATTGTATGTTCTTTTATTGGTAATAAAGTGGACAAATTTAATTGCATCTTGTATTCAGTATGTAGAAATTCCCCCATTCGATCCCTCAGGAACCTGTGTCTATTCTGCCTCTTTTATGGGATATCTTGTAAATTCAGTGGCTGCGAGGCTGTAAGGCTGACAGAGATAACTGTTTGGACCGTTATGCCACTTTTCCTGTGTGGGTGTGTCGAAGGTCCAGAGTTACTGACTAACGCGCCATTTACCCATCCATTTCCCTGCGCCAGCACTTTAGATTTGGCACTGTTTTACTCCATCTCTCTCAGGGACCATTGTGCACTTTGACCCAGAGGATATCCTGTGCCTTCTCAGCAGTTGCAGCGTGAGCGCGTTGAAGCCAACGGACAAAAGATCTGTAAAGCTTTATGCACTTTTAGCGAGACAAAAGGAGACTTAAACTTTCTACAAAGCAGATAAAAGACACTCTGGAAACAATCATTTGCAAGCTTTACAATGATGGTGAGTACGCCTAAAAGTGTTGTTGTTTTTGAAAACCTCTGAGTGTCATGTGACAGCCTTTTACTCCAGGCAGGCATCCATGAATACAACGTAGGCTGAGGGAAATTTTCTCCTCCCTTGAAATTTAGTTTGCATACGAATGTGAATTTAATCTCAGCTTGTTCTGATAATATTGTTATATTTTTCATTGCAGGAAGAGGTGAAAGAAGTGGTTTCTGCTCTGAGTGTCCATGGTCATAACATCAAAATTCCAGAGGTGGTGACAGATGGGGACACACTTACTTTTCTAGTCGTGTCTCAGAAGGTGAGAAAATAATTCTCCTAGCTAGATCTAGATTAATGCACCAAGCACGACTGAATAATGATCTTACAAAAACAGAGATGACCTGTTGTCTCTCCTGTGTGTTGCAGCTGTCTGGGACGGGGGAGTACCATGTGTACCGGACCTGGGATGATTTTGAATGGCTGCAGCAGCACCTGTTCTCTCAGGAGGATGTACCCGGGATACAGGGAATCATAGTCAGTGCTTCATTTCATCCATATTTGACTTTTAAACACAACCGGTGCATGTTCTTCTGACAGTAATGGATGAAGAAGGTTAATAATGCAGTACAAAAGTTGCTCCATCAGTTAAGCAATATATAGTTTCTTTGAAAGAGTTAACTTTTTTATGGAAATGTGTATATGCTGCTTTACCTTTTTCTAACTGTATCCTGTAGCTTCACCTTTGTTGAATTGGGTGTGCTCAGGATTAAAGAGGAGTTTCCTATTTTACATACCACAAGAATAGAATAGAATAATTTTTTATTGTTTTACTAATTCATTTTTTAGTAATAATTAAAATAAATTAATTAATAAAAAATAATAATTTTTATTTAAATTGTATTTATTATTAATTTGTATTAAGTTATAGCCTGAAGCTAAACAGGTCTTTTGTAAAGGAGAAAATCTTGAACCAGTGTATTTATTTTATGCACTGGCTCACTGGTCGGAAAATGGGCTACTTCTGATTGGGAGAAATTTGTTTCTTTTAAATGCTTCCTGCTTTTCCTTCTTCTCTTCAGGCTCTCTTTGTAAGTCAGGAAGCCTGTTTTCGTGCTGCAATTGTGCCAGCTGTCCCATTGTTGCAGAAAAAGCAAGTTGAAGCTCTGTATGCAAGTTGGAAGTTGTTTTTTGCAAGAAAATGCAACAGTATACTCTCAGGATGTATGTTTTTTTGCTACTTCCGAGTATGACAGTGCGTGTAGAGGGGTTGTTCAGTGCAAGCACACATTGTGTAACAGGATTATTAGTTATCTCAGGATGTAAAATGTGCGTACAGTTACTCATCTAAGCACTGAATTTCTCAAAAATACATTGATGTCGACCAAGCATCTATTAAAAGACTCCTTTTAATGTAAAAACAATAGACAATTGTTTGTTTTGAAAAACTACGTGGAATACAATAAGATTGCCCTCTTTTTCTTTTTCAAGTTTCCCCCTCTTCCTGCAAAGGCTCATGTGAATCCATCTGCCAAGGTTATGAAACAGCTTGGTAAGTACATAAACAGAAAAATATATTAAATACAACAAATTTAAATGAATATGTAAAAATGAAATTAACCAAATATATTTTTCATTTCCGTGCTTGTTCTGTTGCACAGTCTGTAATGTGGTATCTGAAGTGTTAAAGATCAAAATGTTGTTTTCCCTGCAGGTTTCCTTGGTCTAGGAGAGTGGCAGCCGTACTGTAAAGCGCTGGAAACTTTCCTCCAGCAGGTCGCTACGCACAAGATACTCAGCAAAAACAAAGCCGTGGAGGTCTTCCTGACCAGCTCAGACGTAAGTGGACACAAAAGGAAAGAATTTTATGTTGCAGCAAAGTGTAATGTGATAACTTTTTATGAGCGAGACGGATAGTAAATGGTTAAACTTTTACCAACATTATTTCAGAAGAGAGATACTCATGTGACCAATACAACCCCCCCCCCCCACGTGATACTGCAGTGTAGCACCTTTTGTGAGGTTTTATCAGGAGCCTCATAACCCTAACTTAAGGTTAATGCAGGTGGTTTTTCTCAACATGTTAACATACAGTCAATGGAATTTTAAAAATTAAGAATTGAAAAAAAGTTAGCCGCCAATATATGCTTTTTATGTATTTGTAATGATCAACAGGGTGGCACTCATTCTAATACAGGTCTGCATGTATGCTGATGCACGTGTACAGACTCCGACACATACATTAAGCACATAGAGTGATACTGTTGTTACACTTCATATACACTATGTTACAAAAGCAAGCACACCCCTCACATTTCTGCAAATATTTTATTCCATCTTTTCATGGGACAAAACTGAAGAAATGACACTTTGCTACAATGTAAAGTAGTCCATGTACAGCTTGTATAACAGTGTCTATTTACTGTCCCCTCAAAATAACTCAATACACAGCCATTAATGTCTAAACAACTGGCAACAAAAGTGAGTACACCCCTAAGTGAAAATGTCTTTAGTCGACCATGGCGAGGCCGACTTTACATTGTAGCAAAGTGTCATTTCTTCAGTGTTGTCCCATGAAGATATAATAAAATATTTGCAGAAATGTACTCACTTTTGTGACATACTGTATATAAGGCAGAGTTTGTATCAGTGTTGGATGTGTTTCAGGTCCTGATGATGATAGGTTAAGTCTGACCCAGTATGGAATGGAATAAGCTAAATTTTATAATTGATCCTACATCCACCCAACCGGTCGAGGCAGATGGCCGTCCCTCCCTGAGCCTGGTTCTGTCGGAGGTTTTTTTTCCCCTGTGGGGGTTTTCCATTCCTTCCCACTGTTGCGGACTGCTTGCGGACTGTTGAAGCTTATAGGGAATCCAAATGTTTTGGATTGTTGGGTGTTTCTGTCTTCTGCGCTATGAGATGACTTGTTGTTGTAAATATGCACCATACAAATAAAATTGAATTGAATTGAATTGAATACTGTATATCAAGCATTAGTGGGTTTTAACGTATGCTATTTTGCTGACACGGCTTTAAATAGTTTGCAAAGAAGGTGTGTATATGCTTATGTATACTCACACACGTAACAAAATATTATTACAGCATCAATGTCAATATGTGAATGAGAATCGCTCCCCTAAACTCCCTCAACTCTGGTGTGGATTCTTCTTTCTTCTTTTTTTCCACCTACAAAATTATTTTATACAAAGATTTTTAAATATGATTAAAAAAATGTCCTTGTGCCCAGGCTCCAGGCAGGCAGAAAGTAAAGAAAAACATTTTCAACCGACTGAGTCAAGCTGTGGAAGAGATGAGGAAAGAAGGCCATAAGGTACAGTATGAAACTCGTATAGACAGCATTTGTTTTGTATATGAATGTGGGGTTTTAAGCTGCAGTGACTGTGTCTGCAGGATGTGGACGAGTTCTTTCAAAGCGAACGCGATCATAACCTCGTCCTAACTGGCTGTTCCAAGACTGCAGCCGAGGTGAGTCAGTCACCTATTTGTTTTTGGTTTTTTTGCCCGTATATTTGTCCTGCTCTCTGTCTGCTTCTCTCACGCGCCCACGCACACATGGTGTGATTTTTGGAACTTTCTTTTTTTTTTCTTGCAGAAATTTCTAGATGTGGTGCTAACTGAGCAAAGTAAGAAAACTGCTGCCTTCACAAAGAATCGTTTCATTTAAGTTTGCAAACATAGACGAGAATTTGATATTATTGGTGCTGTGTTACATGTTCTGTTTGTTTGCAGAAGTAGCAGTGGCGTGTGGGCACTTCTCAGCTGCTCTGCATCTCTGCGTGGAAGCAGGGGAGGATCCAGACAAGAAGGCTTTTTCTAGGTGAGAGAATAGTTGCATTGGTCGCAGTTCAACATCACGTTAAAGATGGAGACAAAGATGTGGATGAGTTGTCTTTTTCTTTCTTGCAGGCTTTGTGTGAAAATATCAGAGGTGTTTGATTCTATGAAGGTAAGCTGTTTGTCCTTTTTGTTAGAAATATACACAGCAGTACACAGTGGAGTGCTATTCCAAATGATGTGTTTGTGTGTGTGAGCAGAAAAATGTGACGAGTGTTGCTGAGAACAACATGAAGACTCTTGGGCTAGGCCTGGATCTGGAGTCACGTTACCAGGAGGCAGAAAGGGTTCGTTGTCCAGTTCTAACATCATTTTATGTTCATCTTATACTGTATATGTGACTGATATTCCTGTGTTTATCATGATTCCTTATGTCCAATGAAGGAAATGCTCTTCAGGAGGACGTGTAAACTAGTGGAGTTAGAGAATGCCAAAAGGAACGCAGAGAAGGCCAAACCTGTGAAGAAGGCGGTTGTGAGTATCTGCACCCATTACTTGCTTGCTTTCTTGCAACCAGCAGGTGTCAGCAACATTCTGCTGGTATAATTCAACAGCAGAGCGCAGAGCAGTTAGAGGAATGGTGATAAGAAGACATTAGATACAAGTGTAATCTGATGAAGACTAAGTACATAATGATGATGACATGATCTCCATATTCATCAGATGGAAGAAGTGAAGACAGCAACAGAGACAGAGTTTCAAC